AATTGTTGGCTCAGTTCTTCCTGGCTTGCAAACATTAAGATGGACACAGATATTGTTTTGAGTTTATTTTTATTTATATATACAAGAGTTCTTGCGGGAGACATCTCCCGTCACGCAGGGTGCAGTCGCACCTCCACAGATCTCCAGTATCAGCTCTTGATACTGGTAATGGCTCAAAAGGGCCACCACTTACGAGCTATTCATGCCCGTGCCACCTTTTGGATGGCTTAATCTTCATCATCATTACATACTTGTACAGCCACTAGCACGCATGGAATTTCAGACAAGTCCTTAATCCTAATTTTCACACACACACACACGCAGCCCGTAGCAGCTGTCTAACTCCCAGGTACGTATTTACTACTAGGTGAACTGGGGCATGAGGATGAAAGAAACTACCCATTTGTTTCCGCCTCCGCCGGGGATCGAACCCGGACCTTTAGGACTATGAAACCCGAGCGCTGTCCGCTCAGCCGTCAGTGATTAATGTGCGCCTTAATAACCCTCCAGAGGTCGATAGACCTCATAATAGTCACCCAGAGGTCGATAGACGTCACAATAGTCACCCAGAGGTCGATAGACCTCACAATAGTCACCCAGAGGTCGATAGACCTCACAATAGTCACCCAGAGGTCGATAGACCTTTCAATAGTCACCCAGAGGTCGATAGACCTTACAATAGTCACCCAGAGGTCGATAGACCTTTCAATAGTCACCCAGAAGTCGATAGACCTCACAATAGTCACCCAGAGGTCGATAGACCTTTCAATAGTCACCCAGAGGTCGATAGACCTTTCAATAGTCACCCAGAAGTCGATAGACCTCACAGTAGTCACCCAGAGGTCGATAGACCTCACAGTAGTCACCCAGAGGTCGATAGACCTCACAGTAGTCACCCAGAGGTCGATAGACCTCACAGTAGTCACCCAGAGGTCGATAGACCTTACAGTAGTCACCCAGAGGTCGATAGACCTCACAGTAGTCACCCAGAGGTCGATAGACCTCACAGTAGTCACCCAGAGGTCGATAGACCTCACAGTAGTCACCCAGAGGTCGATAGACCTCACAGTAGTCACCCAGAGGTCGATAGACCTCACAGTAGTCACCCAGAGGTCGATAGACCTTACAGTAGTCACCCAGAGGTCGATAGACCTCACAGTAGTCACCCAGAGGTCGATAGACCTCACAATAGACCTGGAGAGGTTGCTGGAGGTTATTAATCTGTCAGAGGAACAATAAGGCCAGCACCAAGCCCCAGCTCAGTGGCCTGACCCACGAAGCTTGACTTATTGAAGGGCAGGTGGTGGGAGGGCGAGGGACCCGGTCTGCTACAACCTCTACTCCACGGCTGCTGCTGCTGCTGCTGCTGCTGCTGCTGCTGCTGCTGCTGCTGCTGCTGCTGCTGCTGCTGCTGGTGCTGCTGGTGCAGGCATTATTCATCCTCTTGGCCCTCTGCTGGAAGGTCCTCGCTCCCTCCTCAACCTTCCCTCTACCTGCCCCAGACATTAAAGTATGAGAAGAATGAGCAAGAAGGTGATCAGTCACGGGAGACATCTCCCGTCACGCAGGGTGCAGTCGCACCTCCACAGATCTCCAGTATCATCTATTGATACTGGTAATGGCTCAGAAAGGGCTCCACTTACGGGCTATTCATGCCCGTGCCACCTCTTAGGTGGCTTAATCTTTATCAATCTTCATCAATCAGGTGATCAGTGCCTCAAGAATTGGTGCAGATTTAGGGTTTAACCCCGACCAGTTGCACATGTTTGGGCAATTGAGTGCTCAAATGAGACACAGGGACGTTAGAAAGAATTTTTTCAGAGTCAGTTAACAGGTGGAATGTATTAGGCAGTGATGTGGTGGAGGCTGACTCCATACACAGTTTATAATGTAGATATGATAGAGCCCAATAGGCTCAGGAACCTGTACACCAGTTGATTGACAGTTGAGAGGCGGGACCAAAGAGCTACAGCTCAACCCGCGCAAACACAACTAGGTGAGTACAGGTAACACTGATCTCAGATCTTATGGGATGTATATATTTATATTTATATCTTTCCGTATGACTCTGAGAGTTATAGACTCTTAAAGTATGACTGAGGACACGTTGCGGCCTCAGATCAAGTCCATTCCATCCAGCGGTCGACCCCACACACGCATTCATACATGCTCTTCATTCAAAACGGGAATGTTCTCAAATATAAATTAATATTATAATATAATAGCATATTGTGTATATATAGGCATAGGTTAGGTTAGGTTAGTTTAGTTCATTTATTATGCACCCCATACCCATCTTGTGGGCGGTAGTGGAAAGGGCTACAGAGGCACATAATGGGCTCAGGGACTGAACCCCACAATTCATTTAGCTAAGCAAGTTACAATCTTGATGAACTAGTTACAAAATTCAGTATAAGTCGTCACATCAACAATGGGTTCGAGATCGACCTCAAGTACAGGTTCTAAATTAAGCAACTGACATATGTGGAGAGCTAGTGTCACAATTGATATGTTTGTCCTGCACACCGCCCCCCATCCAGTGGGCAGCGGTGGATAGGTTACACCGCCCCCCATCCAGTGGGCAGCGGTGGATAGGTTACACCGCCCCCATCCAGTGGGCAGCGGTGGATAGGTTACACCGCCCCCCATCCAGTGGGCAGCGGTGGATAGGTTACACCGCCCCCCATCCAGTGGGCAGCGGTGGATAGGTTACACCGCCCCCCATCCAGTGGGCAGCGGTGGATAGGTTACACCGCCCCCCATCCAGTGGGCAGCGGTGGATAGGTTACACCGCCCCCCATCCAGTGGGCAGCGGTGGATAGGTTACACCGCCCCCCATCCAGTGGGCAGCGGTGGATAGGTTACACCGCCCCCCATCCAGTGGGCAGCGGTGGATAGGTTACACCGCCCCCCATCCAGTGGGCAGCGGTGGATAGGTTACACCGCCCCCCATCCAGTGGGCAGCGGTGGATAGGTTACACCGCCCCCCATCCAGTGGGCAGCGGTGGATAGGTTACACCGCCCCCATCCAGTGGGCAGCGGTGGATAGGTTACACCGCCCCCCATCCTGTGGGCAGCGGTGGATAGGTTACACCGCCCCCCATCCAGTGGGCAGCGGTGGATAGGTTACAATCACTTAGTTACTACCTACAGTTAGCAAACTGGGGATATTTGGCTTAAATTTCTGGTAGCAGATCATTTTGAATGAAATATTGACACATCGCTGGAACATTGGTTATAGAATTGTTTATAAATTCACGTATCTTTTCGCACTCCATCACATAGTGACGGAGGGTGTGCGAATAATTTTGTTGACACAGTTTACATTTAGTCAAGTCTACATCAGCAGATAAAGAGAATTCCCAGAGATACTTGTAACAGAGTCTAAGCCGAGCAGTAGTAACATCTAGAAGTCTGCTGATTTTATTGGATGATCCATAGATGTGTGGCTCCTCTTGCATGATAGTATGATGATAGATGGAATTACTGGTGTCAATTTCACTTTGCCTCAGATCTACAAGACCTTGTTGAAGTTCTCGGTGTACTGCTGCTCTCAGATTGCTCATTGACAATCCAAGGTTACACTCAACGGCTCCTTTAAAGGCAGAATCTTTGGCTAACTTATCAGCTCTATCATGCATTCGGAGGCCAACATGAGATGGAGACCGCATGAAATGGACTCTGTTACCATCCTTAATAATTTTGTTGTATTTGTGTCTAGCTTCGGACACGAGCATGTTACAGTTATGTCTTAAAGAGTTGAGAGCATTTAAGGATGATAAAGAGTCACTTACAATTAATGTATCAAGTTTGGAGACTTGTACACATTTCAGTGCAAGGATCAAGGCAAATAGTTCAGTCTGAAGGGTAGAGGCCCAGTTGTTTATACGGACTCCCCACTCAAAGTATAGGCCATCGCCCATTGTCAGGACAACTGCACTTCCAGCTGCACCCGCGGTGCTAGGTTAGGTGTTTAGGTTCTGTTGGCGATTATTTGTAGTACGTGGGTGAAGCATTTACAGCGTTGGGGTTCGAACACAAGTCGTCAGTGAAGCACTTGTTCCGGAAGTGTTCGAACGTCAGCAGTTATCAGTCGTGTGTAAACAGGTTTTCGAACATAAACAACTGTGGGGGGTGTTGGCGGGTGGATGGAATGGTCTTTGGGTCTTTTCAGCCCGTCCTCCAAGCAAAGATCCAAAGTCTATTCCATCCACCCACCAACCCCCCCACAGCTGTTTATGAATGTAAAACAGTTGACACACGACTGACAACTGCTGACGTCCGAACACTTCCGGAACAAGTGCTTCACTGACGACTGGTGTTCGAACCCCAACGCTGTAAATGCTTCAGCCACGTACTACAAATAATCGCCAACAGAACCTAAACACCTAACCTAACCTATGTCTATATATGCACAATATGCTAATATATTATTAATTTATATTTGAGTAAGTTCCCGTTCTGAATGAACAGCATGGAAAAGTTTATGAATGCGTCTGTGGGGTCGACCGCTGGATGGAATGGACTTGAGTCGAGGACTGGCTGAGAGTCAGATGTGATTAGTAAACTGATTAATACCAGTGTTGGATGATTGGCTTGGTGACCTACACACCTGCACACACCTGTACACACACACGTGCACAAACGGAGTTTGAATCACATCCGCTGGAAGCTGAAATACCACCAAAATGTCTCAACTCTCACCATTCGACGTCACAACATGGAGAAAAAGTCTTTCCTCGAATCTTTCTTGTATTTCAATGCTATTTGCGCTACTAAAGAACATTCTGATACTTCAGTAGGGAATCTAAGCGTCAGACTTGCTAGTAAGCGGCTCATTTGACTCACAAGTACTAGGGGGGAAGGAGGATTAGTGTACACTATAGCGGGGTCAACCCTCGCCTATTACTCACTATTCACATGGGCACGCATGACGCACGGACGCACGAACACTCTTAATACGTCGCTACACACACTCGGCGCCCCTACACACCCCCAGTCTTCCATTCACACCCCTGGGATACACACCTCCCACACCTGCTGGCCTCATACACACCTGACAGAGTGAATTATTACACATGTGTATTAAGAACATACGAACAAGGTGACTACAGAAGGCCTATTGGCCCATACGAGGCAGTTCCTATTTATAATCACCTAATCCCACTCATATACACGGATATGTGAATCCCGGTTATATATATAATTATATATATATATGGTGTCTCCCTACAAGTGATCTAGTGCTCTAATTACTGAACTACTTCACCAGCAGGAAGCTAACTACCTCCCATCACTGTGACAAGTCAATCTCCCATCTTTACCTACAAGTAAGTTCATATATAAAGGGTTTTTATATCTTGTATGATAGTATAGGTATATATAAGGTTTGTTGAAACCCTATACTTGGATTATAGTGATATATAAGAAATCTCTAGATATAGGAGAACTACCTGAGAGTCAGAAGAAAGCATGTGTAGAATAGAACATTGTTCTAAACAGAACAATGTTCTTTCATACCATGAAATATATAGAAAAAATCTTGGGAAGGGTTTTTATCACATCTGGAGAGAAATAATAGCTTTTTATAACCGTAATAAGGAATTCAAACGACGAACATCACATTTGACAAAGTGTAATTTAGTTTTTATTTTGTTTTAGAACGTAAACATTAGTCCTTGATAAGAATTAGGCTCGTAACCCCTCGAGGGATCCGTACGCCCCTGAAAATATCTCCACCTGGAAAATTCTTGCTTAATCCGGGTTAGTTTAGGTATGACGCAGTGCGTATATTGGCAGTCATGAAGCAATGAATAATGATTACTTGTACTCATCCTCATCACTGCTTGTATGACTTTTACTCAACCTCATCACTGCTTGTATGACTTTTACTCAACCTCATCACTGCTTGTATGACTTTTACTCAATCCTATCACTGCTTGTATGACTTTTACTCAATCCTATCACTGCTTGTATGACTTTTACTCAATCCTATCACTGCTTGTATGACTTTTACTCAATCCTATCACTGCTTGTATGACTTTTACTCAATCCTATCACTGCTTGTATGACTTTTACTCAACCTATCACTGCTTGTATGACTTTTACTCAATCCTATCACTGCTTGTATGACTTTTACTCAATCCTATCACTGCTTGTATGACTTTTACTCAATCCTATCACTGCTTGTATGACTTTTACTCAATCCTATCACTGCTTGTATGACTTTTACTCAATCCTATCTCTGCTTGTATGACTTTTACTCATCCTATCTCTGCTTGTATGACTTTTACTCAATCCTATCTCTGCTTGTATGACTTTTACTCAACCTCATCACTGCTTGTATGACTTTTACTCAACCTCATCACTGCTTGTATGACTTTTACTCAACCTCATCACTGCTTGTATGACTTTTACTCAACCCATCACTGCTTGTATGACTTTTACTCAACCTCATCACTGCTTGTATGACTTTTACTCAACCTCATCACTGCTTGTATGACTTTTTTTACTGCTTGTATGACTTTTACTCAACCTCATCACTGCTTGTATGACTTGTATTTTACTCAACCTCATACTGCTTGTATGACTTTTACTCAATCCTATCACTGCTTGTATGACTTTTACTCAACCTCATCACTGCTGCTTGTATGACTTTTGACTTTTACTCAACCTCATCACTGCTTGTATGACTCATCACTGCTTGTATGACTTTTACTCAACTGCCTCATCACTGCTTGTATGACTTGTTGACTTTTACCTCTCAACCTCATCACTGCTTGTATGACTTTTACTCAACCCATCACTGCTTGTATGACTTTTACTCAATCCATCACTGTACCACTGAGATCTGGCTCTCCAAACTGAGTCTTTAAAATATTCTGGACAGCTAAACATAAAAAAGGAAAACGGAAATAAACTTGAGACATCTTAGACCTCCAGTAGTTTAGTTTCTGTTTTGACTTCAGAGAGCAGACAAGAGAGTCGACCTTGAGAGTAATCTTAGAGGGAGAGGAGGTGACACAGCAGTCAGAACAAACGTCTTAGAACAGCAAAGGAGGCTGTGGCGAACACTATTAACAATGGATCTTTGGTACAAGTAGCGGATGTTGCTTGGCCTTGGGGGAGGGGACACACACACACACACACACACACACACACACACACACACACACACACACACACACACACACACACACACACACACACACACACACACACACACACACACACACACACACACACACACACACACACACACACACACACACACACACACACACACACACACACACACACACACACACACACACACACACACACACACACACACACACACACACACACACACACACACAAATTTATTGACAAATTCATGACGAAGGAGGAACAGATTGCCCACAGAGCAAGCAAACAACAGTACGACTCTTCCCATTTGAGCGCAGCTACACACCCCAGTGCTAAACCACCCCATGCTAACCAGCTCACACGTGCTTCTCAGGTCACCCCTTTCCCAAATCAGCCGCCCCTGCTTATCTCCCCAGCACATCCCTTGACCCCTCTGACCCCACTGGAGTCAAATTCATCCCACATTCCAAGGACCCCCTCATCACCTCAGCCCCCAAAACCCGTCCAGCCCTCATCCCCTCAACCCCCAAAACCCACCCAGCTCTCAGCCCCTCAACCCCCAAAACCCATCCAGACCTCATCCCCTCAACCCCAAGAACCCACCCAGACCTCATCCTCTCAACACCCAAAGCCTACCCAGCCCTCACCCCTCCTCATCCCCTCTCCTTCCATGTGACCCCCCACCCTTGCGAGGGAGGTGGGAGGTCCCCCCCACCCCCTCTATCCTTCCCCCTCCCAACCTCTCAACCTCTATCTGTCTCCCAACCTTACGCTATCTCCCAACCCCTCTATGCCCTCCCCAATCTTCAGACCCAGTATGCCCTTCCTACTCCAGACCTACCTACCCAGGCCCTACCCCAGACCCTCCTACCTACCTTCCTAGAAGCCCAGCCCCCAGTAGCCCCCCAAGCACTCTTTCTGAACACCCCCCTCCTGAACTCTTTCACCCCCCATACACCCCCCGGACCCCCCCAGACACCCCCCGGATCCCCCCGGACATCCCCCGGACCCTCCCCGCCCCCAGTCATCCCCCAGACACCCCCCAGATCCCCCAGATCCCCTCTGCCCCCAGTCACCCCCCAGACATCCCCCAGATCCCCCCAGACCCCCAGAGAAAGGGAGAACTCTGGTACAAGAGTTTCCATGAAGAATCTCAAGGTTTGGTACACCAATGCTGATGGGGTATCTAATAAAGCAGAAGAGATAAAAGAAAGAGTGAGTGAAGCAGATCCTGACATAGTTGCAATTGTGGAAACTAAAATTAATGACATGATCTCAGATGCAATCTTTCCTGAAGGGTACCAGGTGATACGAAAAGAGAGGACACAGAGACAGGGAGGGGGAGTAGCACTCCTAATAAAGCGGAAATGGAAGTTTGAAGACCTGGGAAATCGAGTTACCAATGAGTGCACAAGCTTCATACATGGAACTCTGACAGTAGATGGGAGGAAGATTGTGATCCTGGTAATCTACAATCCCCCACCAAACAGTAGAAGACCCAGGCAGGAGTATGATGACAACAACAAAGCATGTATAGATGAACTGCAGAAGGCAGCAACACTAGCCCACAGAATGAGAGCGAAGCTGCTGATCATGGGGGACCTAAATCATGGAGAGATAAATTGGGAATCAAGGAATCCCCATGGAGGGGACGAAACGTGGGGAGCAAAATTAGTAGATGTTGTAGACAGGAATTTCCTGACACAACATGTGAAGGAAGACACAAGGGAAAGAGGAGGAGATGCACCGAGCCTATTAGACCTGATTTTTACCCAGAACGTAGAAGATATCGAGAATTTAGAGCATGAAATACCTCTAGGGGCCAGTGACCATTGTGTCCTAGTCTTTGACTACATGATGGAATTCAAACTTATGACCATGGGACAAGAGATCTGGGAAAGGAGAGCTGACTACAGGAAAGGGGACTATATGAGGATAAGGGACTATCTGGGTGAAGTGCAGTGGGAGGAAGAAATTAGAGGAAAAACAGTCCAAGATATGATGGACCTAGTCATACAGAAATGCCAGGAGGCCGAAGAGAGATTTATACCAACGGTAAAGGGAAAAAATAAGAAGGAATATAATAACCCATGGTTTAATAGACAGTGTCAGGAAGCAAAAATGGCCAGCAGACGGGAGTGGAGGAAGTACAGAAGACAAAGAACAGAGGACAACAGAAGCAGATACAACAGAGCTAGGAACGATTACATTAACATAAGACGAACATCGGAAAGGGACTATGAGAACGATATTGCAATCAAAGCGAAAAAACAACCCAAGTTACTACACAGTCATATAAGAAGAAAAATGTCGGTGAACGACCAAGTGACAAGACTAAGGAAGACAGAGGGGGCATATACTGAAAGTGACAAGGAAATCTGCGAGGCACTGAATGCCAGTTTCCATGGAGTGTTCACTACCGAGCCTGAGCAGCTCCCATTGTTGGAAGGGGTTACCCTAGATGAAAGACTATCAGATATAGAGGTGACAGCAGAGGAGGTAATGAAACAGTTGACAACTCTAGATGCAACTAAAGCAGTTGGACCAGACAAAGTATCACCGTGGATACTAAAAGAAGCAGCACAGGCCCTCAGCGTGCCTCTGGCAATGATCTTTAATGAGTCACTTATGTCAGGAGAATTGCCCAGTTGCTGGAAGAAGGCAAATGTCGTGCCGATCTTCAAGAAAGGAGATAGGGAGGAGGCACTTAACTACAGACCTGTATCACTGACAAGCATCCCCTGTAAAATACTGGAAAGAATAATTAGGCTGCGACTGGTTGCACACCTGGAGAACATTAGGTTTGTGAACAAACATCAACATGGGTTCTGGACAGGGAAATCGTGCCTAACAAACCTTCTGGAATTCTATGATAAAATAACGAGGATAAGACAGGACAGAGATGGTTGGGCAGACTGCATATTTCTGGACTGCCAAAAAGCCTTTGATACAGTACCGCACATGAGACTGCTGTTCAAGCTCGAGAGGCAGGCGGGGGTGGGGGGGAAAGGTCCTAGAATGGATAAGGAACTACCTAACAGGAAGGAGCCAAAGAGTTACGGTAAGGGGCGAGAAGTCGGACTGGCGAACAGTAACAAGTGGAGTACCACAAGGATCGGTGCTGGGACCAATTCTATTTCTTGTATATGTTAACGACATGTTTACAGGCGTAGAGTCCTACATGTCGATGTTTGCGGATGAT